TATTTTAAAGTTAGGATTTTAAAGACCACTTGCTTTTTTGTTACTAATTTGGGGGGAATTTTGGAAAAGTTTCCTATTTAAATGTTGAATTAAAGATTTAATCTTTTGTAAATATGTGGCCATAAATGTTCTGTTAATTTTAAACTCTGGAAATAAATTTTATTAGTCTTAAGTGTACTTAATTTTTCTTGGCTTATGTAGATAATTGGACTATTTTTTAAACTACAAAGAAATAATTGGATTTTAACTTGATAATCAGGAAGATACAGAGACTATACAAGTTTGTTATATTTGAATTTGTTGACTATCTGTTGTGAAAATTCTTTCAGTGCAATTTTTGTTGGAAAGTATTAGTCTAGTCATTTGTATAGGTTCATTTTTAATTATATTAAATGTAAAATCAGAACAATATGTAATACTTATTATAATTTTTTTGGGGGGCGAAAGACAAATTTGACAATGTTGAAAGAATGGATTGTTTGCAAAACACTAACATTACAGAGTCATAATCCGGGGGCCTTAGAGATCATCATTCACCCATGAATGAACCCCTTCTCCAGGATTTCCCAGACTCTGTTCTCCACCTGCTTCCATCTTCCAGCGATAGGATTGAAGTGGAAATCACAGTGGTTTCCAGGGTGTCTGCACAGTGGAATCATCTGAGGGCTTCAAAAAATACTGATGTCTCTGTCCCATCTCCAGAGACTGTGATTTCATTCTTTGGTAGTGTGGTCTGGACTTTGGAATTTTCAAAAGGTCTCCAGGTGATCCTAATGTGAAAACAAATTTGGAAACTGCCAATAAATCATGTGGAAAATCACGTTGACCTTTATCAACATTAGAGAATCTACACTGGAGAGGAAACCTGACTAATGTTATGAAGGTTCTTCTATAAGCCTTTAGATGTCACTTCAGAGGATTTATAGCTACACGCATGCACACACCAGAGTTTGTGTAACATGCAGGAAACATGTATTGCCACTTAAATTCAAGAACCATTTCATAGGAAGATATCACAGTGGCAGAGAATCCATGATAATGGTATGGTGGAAAATACTGGGGAACTGGTTGTTAGGACCCTGGCTCTGTCACTTTCTAACTAGACTTGGCCCTTGAACAAAACGGGTTTGAACTGTGCCGGTCCACTTATACGTGAAAGTTTTTTTTTTTTTTTAAATATATCTTTATTGATTTCAGAGAGAGGAAAGGAGAGGGAGAGAGAGAGATAGAAACATCAATGATGAGAGAGTCATTGATCGGCTGCAGCCCGCAACCAGGCATGTGCCCTGGCCCGGAACGGAACCCCGATCGCCTGGATCCTAGGTCCACGCTCAACCGCTGAGCCACGCCTGGCCGGGCAAAGTTTTTCAATAACTACTGTAAATGAACCAG